TTGAGGTGGTTATGGTGAAAGAGGGCGATACGTGCAGCTACAATAAAGTATAATGACCCTGATCAGACTAGCAGTATATTTCGTTAAATATCCGTTTTGCCTCAGGCATGTACCAAGAACATGTAGTGTATAGATTAGTCGCTGTAGATGGAGGGTTGGGCATCGAAGTGTTGGAAGCTGATTCGAGAGCCCATCATTATTATTATATGACCTTTATTTACCACTCAGACTGAGTTTACTCCATCCGTCCTCTGTTGATTACGGCCACGCTCAGAGATATCCGAAACGTCCATCTAAATTTGTAACATTGGGAGATAAAGACGATAGGGACGGCGAAAGCGATTGGGAATCCTCGTCGAAGTGAGGACTTTATCACTCAATCTCGGCTCTGTAGACTCTACAGCGAGATCTGGAGGCTCGTAGGGGACACTGCTGACAGGTGTTCAGAATAGTCCCCCTCACGGGAGTGTAGTTTAGGTGTTGTCCGCAGTATATTGGGTCGAGAACACACAACCCTCTTTTATCTGTACATCTTTCTATCTTCTAGCACACAATAAAGTGCACAGCGCCTTCACTAGTATCTATCATCAATCATCTACAAGCGCAGTGTTTATAGACCATACTCCATTTGTATACGAGTAGTAGAGTCAGTATTAAAAGCCTAGGTGATCTCATTTAAAAGAAAAAATATATCTATCCCCACCTAAAGGTGTACCAGTAACGAAGGGTCATGCTTTACAGGCATTGCGCAGCTTATATGGACATAAGAAAGCTGCAAGGGACTGGAACATGCTCTGCAAAACCCATCTAGTACAATGGGGATTTGTTGGAAGCCTTGCAGATCCATGCTTATTCATCCAAAAAGAGAGGCAGATTGAGTTACTTGTATACGTTGACGATATTGCTGCAGCTGCTAAGTCCACTGATGAGCCAGACTGGTTCTTTAGTAAGCTCTCTTCTCGTTTCAATGCCAAGAATCTGGGGGAGATTGAAAAGATACTTGGAATGAGGGTAACGAGAAAGCGTACAGAACGAACTATCTTGATTGATCAAGAGCAATATTTGAGGTCAGTGCTTGAAAGATTTGGAATGACAGCAGACAAATTTAAAGCGAAGAAAATTCCAGCATCCGACTATGAGTTAATTCGTCCCGCAAGTAAAGAGGACAAGAGAATCGATGTCACAGAATATCAACAAGGCATCGGAAGCTTAATTTTCGCTATGGTGTTAACGCGACCGTATATCGCTTTCGTTCTTGGAAAGCTATCTCAATTTATGACTGATCCAGTAGAACATTATGGTTGTGCGCTAAAAGAATTGTTTCGCTACCTGCGATCAACTGTCATCCAGAAACTGCGTTACGGACCTGGAGGAGCGCATAAACATTTCGTAGTTTACTCCGATGCCGACTGGGCAAGTGACAAATCTGACCGAAAAAGTGTATCTGGAAGTGTAGCAATGTTTTATGGTGGCCCTATCTCCTGGTCTAGTAAAAAACAACGATCAGTAGCCACATTCACTTGTGAATCTGAATACGTAGCACTCTCTGCTTGTGCAAAACAAGGCCAGTGGATCGCCCGAATATTCAGAGACTTGGGATGCCCTGACTATATTGGACTAAATTCTCAGAAAGTTCATATGCTAGGCGATAATCAAGGGGCGCTCGCTCTTGTCAAAAACCCCCATCTTCACGAGCGATCGATCGAAGCACATTGACATCTGTTATCATCATACCAGAGACCTAGCGGAGATAGGAAAACTTGATGTTGCATATATCCCTACTACAGATATGGTCGCAGATGATATGACGAAGCCCCTGTTAAAGGTTAATTTCGAAAATTTCAGATCACAGCTAGGAGTTGTTATGTAGTAAAACTAGAGTCACCGTGACTTGCTCTGTGGGGGAGTGTTGAAATAATGGAGTTCAGAGATGAGTCAGGTGATGCTTAATGGAAGTAACTGATGAAGGGTTTGATTGTTGAGTTTTCTATGATTTCTGTGTTGGGATACACTTTGTCGATCCTACTAGGCTCGATAATTAGTAGTCCCGACCGACTGGTGTTTGGCAAATGGAGATTGCGTATACCCTGTGCTAGCGTTGTTTACTGCTGTTAACAGGAGATCCCGCACGGGCTATCTATTGGGGTTAAAAGGAGTCTGGTACCTGTGTTTAATAGAGCAGTCGAATTGACATCCTTTTATCCTTCAGTATTGCATAAGCTTCCCTTTACCAATAAAGTCCACGAACTAAGTAGTGGGTTAAACATTTCAATACTTTCTCTAGATTTCATTAACTGATTTATTCTGGACTTGCTCTGCTGTATACCAACACCAATTGATCCGGCGACATAAACTGAGTGATGCGAGGAGAACCAGAGGGAGTAGGGGTGCATAGAAGAAGCCAAATTGCAGCTCCTGGTTGTCTAGGCACGCATGAAGATAGTAACAAGGTTACTAATAAGGAAACAATGACCCCTCAGTCATTGAGATTGTAGAGCGCATCGATTCAAGTAACTGCCGAAGTGAAACTAAATACAGAAGATGTAGTCACGTGTGTATCAAAAATGTGGCCTACTTGATAGCCCCAGTTATTCTAATTCTGATAGTTACGAAGGGGGGCTACTCTCAACACCTGTTAGTGGTGTCCCCTACGAACCTCCAGCTCTCACCGTAAAGTCTGCAGAGCCGAGTTTGAGTAACACCGTATCAACTTTGAGCTGAGTTATCTCTGTTGAGCGGATTGGTTTGCAAAAGCTTGTGGCTGTTCGGCACAGATTATATCACTTGGTGAGGCGAGTGGGAAAGTAAAGGAGTCTGTAAATCTGTCGTGGAGAGCTGTTAATTACTCCCACTAGGACGCCGAGTTCTATATAAACTATATTTTGTAATAATAAAATCCAGTGATTGGTATTTACGTCAAAGCGCATTAATACTAACCTCACAATTAATGGGAGATTAGTGACGTGCCTTCTACACATCCCTGTCTTTACCATAATTGGAAGCACCAATTTCAACAATCTCCCCCTCCGTCAAAGATATGCTTCTGATGACTCATAAGACGACCAAGATGACGATAATGATGCTGGGAATGAGGAAAGATAATGCGGTACCAAACGCTACAACGGTAGTCAGAGAAGCCCTCGTTATATCACAACATGTGCTACCCATCGGCGGGCGAACAAGAAGCCCACGAAAGCAAAGTAAAAGACCCTTTCGCCCTCAAGAAAAGCAGGTTTCGACTCTTCTACATCATCGTCCCTACTAATCTATACCTCTAAATCTACTAGCCAGGAGGGCATCTGAAATACATGAGGTACACGACGTCCTCACCTCCATAACGACCTTTGCATGCTAGGCTAGGCTACTTCACGACGGTCACTCTCGACCAAGACTTCTCTGACATTCTTTCACGACCTTCGCTACGTCCTGCAGCATGAATCAAGGGAGGAGTAAGGAGGAGGCTAGGAAGGTTGAGAGACGCTCTCAGGTATACATAGGTCTGCTGCGCTAGGCTGGCCGACCTCTTCGCCATAGGAGAGCCCTGCAATCAGTAGTATTTGAGACCTTTCCCTGAAGCTACACACCCGCAAATGGCCATCGTTTCGTTGGCTGGAGAGGGGAGATAATAACGGGATAACGGCTCCTCTTAGTGTGTACTCGGACGAAGACCTGTGGGTGTATTACTGCTGGAAAGAAGTCATGAAGGAGGCAAAGGAGGGATTACACTACCCGAGGCATGGATACTCCCGGCCTGTAGGCAGAAAGGACCTACATGTCTTTACACAGTCATAGAATTCATAGGACAATAAACAAATACAAAACAAACAAACGTCTAACAGTTACTAATTAAGAATACGTGCATGATACCACGCGATGATTAGAAATTCTCAATTACAGTATCTTTGACTTTATTTCCCATAGCCTCGAAGCATCGGATTTTGAATTTGATTTCATCATCTGGTTTGGCGCCCTGTGGGCCCATTCAGGTGTCTACAATCTGATTTATTTACACGGGGGGAAACCTTAATGGTGGAAAACCCCAACATCTTTCTGCTTGTTGTCTTTAGTTTTCACATTTTTTTTTCAGGAAGCGCAGTCACACTGTATTGCCATCCATGCAAGCCAACTAGATCATCTCTAACCGCCCAAAGCATTGCTTGACCTGTTCCTTTCCATCAGCAGCATTTCGACCGGCTTTGTCATCTGCAATTACTCTATCCAACCATGATTTAGGAACCACTTTGTTATTAATTTGATGTCTCTAGGAGAAGGATCGGATTTTAAATTTACGCAGTAACTCGCCTTACTCCTTTGCCCATCTCGGACAAGAAATCACCATTATCTTTACATTCTGGGACGGATATCAACATGGGAATCGTGGTTCTTCTATCCCTGGTATATTCATTCAGTATAAGTAGGTATTTAGTCCAATGTGCTCGCTTCTCACTTGTGTGGTAGTGCTGCTGTGGGATCTGATTAGGTTTGGATTATTTAAATTAATATCTTTACAGTCAATAATATTTGAACAAAATTAGATGCTTTGTACTTCATATTTCATTTGAGTGTTTTTTTGACTCCAGAGTACCGAATTGAGCAGAATAAATTTTACTTCCATATCCTTGTTCAAATCAAGACCCAACAGTGCATTGATATTATTTGAAGAAATGTTTCCACTCCCGTACTCATCGACATATAATTGTAGTGACAATCGATTGATTCTTTTTTATAGACCCATGCTCTAGATACGATGCCACTGGCTGATTTCGGCGTGCGTCATCGTGTGTAGATCTACAACCTCCTAGTCATAGTCGACCTACCCCAACCGTGTAGCCCTGATCTTGAAGGTTTATCTTGCTTACGCAAATCATTCCAGATGCTCTTTGAGCCTGATTTGCAAATCTTTATCTAGCATGGACAAATTTTGGTCATTAACGTTATTCCTATCCTTGCACATCCTACTGGCTCGAGTCGGCGCGTCCTCTTTCTTTCCTGAAGATTAGCTATGCTTGCGTCTTGCGCTTACGAGAGTTTGTCGGACCGGATTCCTGAGTTTGAGGAAGTAGTGAAAACTTTGTATCCAAATGGCAAACGAGTTTGATTGATTGTTTTCCACGGCCCATAAATTGGGTGGACATATAAACCATGTCTTTAATAAAATAAGGGGATACTGTCGATTCTCGGCTTATATGATGCGTAACAATCACACCGATAACCTCGTTTTGTTTATTTACTATAATTTCGTAGGGTATATTTTGCGCTTTTAAAAATCTTCAGTATTATCTGTAGCCATATGTTTGTTAAAACCTACTTCTCTTGGTCACAGGTACATTTTTTATCAAAGTGGCTGTTTTCCATGGACCATCAACTTTATTAGATGTGTGCTCCATTTCAACAAATCTATACAGGTATGGGTCTATATCGAGAGTGACTGATTGTACAAAATCTTCAAGCTCCCATGAGAAGGATCCACATTGAAGGAAAGGTTTCTTGGGGGCTTGCTTCTTGCCCGAAGACGTACTTGCCGAGTCTTCTGTTACTTTAGTACAAGGTTTAAATTGTTGTGATTTATTTTCAAAATAAATGTCACGGTTCGAGGTATAGATGCTGGGGCGATCAAATATACGAAGGTTGTTTATTATTTTCTCTATGGCTATCTATGTACGTCCAACTTCAACTATTTATTCGCTTACTATTCTATCTAGAATATTCTTGACTAATACCAGTTTCTAGTATTTTCCCCTGAGGCTGGTTCGCAGTCTTACTACTAGTTGCTAGAAATTTCTAGTGATGTCCAGATTAATCTATGATAGAATAGTGGTTTCGTAAAGTTGTGAAGCACGTGATTAACATCATGTGCCACAGGGTAATTACCGGCTCACTAGCCGTTACAATTCCCCTCCTCCTCCATGCATTACGTAAATGCGTGTAGCTGATTTCAGTTTGAAAGAAACACTCCAAAGTTGTGGCCCAGATAATTTTGTTAGATTTTGTTTTTTTTTTTTTTTTTCATTTTGCTTTATCCCCGTGGCTGCGGAATCTGTTACTCCGGTTCCGACGTCTCCGAAGGGTCCCTGGTTCGGCTGGTCCAACAAACGCTCCGACACTATCTTCTGGCGGACCGTCATTTGTCGCAATCGGTCCATATTTTGCTTCGAAATCATCAAGGGCTTTGGCTTCCTCGATAAATTCCACCGGCTCCCATGTCGGATTTGCTTCGCTTACCCACTTTACTAGTGCTTGTCGATATTTTCCACGGCCACGACGAACAGTTCTCGCACGTAGAATTGACTCCACCTCGTATTCGGGCTGCTCCAAGTCATCTATTATGGGGGGGTTTTGAGCATCATCTCTAAATTGACTTGGAAATGGATCTGAGCCGGCTCGCTTTACTAATTCCACATGGAATCGTTTATGGATATTTCCCGGCACGTTTAGCTCAACTGTAAGTGCATCAGGGACAGCAGTCACTTCATATTTTGCATGTTGCCATGCTAACTTCTTCGATAGTTGGGGAGTTTTTATATGACGTAGATCCAACCAGACCTTATCTCCAACTCGGAATTTTTCGGGCTGTCGGCGTATTAAGTTTCCATTGGCTTCATAACGTTGCTGCGCAGACGCCATTGCTGCTTGAGCAAAATCTTGGGCGTCCTTTAGTCTTTGTACAAATTTCATTGCTGAGAGCCGACCCGGATGTCTCGACTTTTCACAGGTAGTCGGCGTTGGTTGTGTTACAGGGTCTAAGTCGTAACCATGCTTTAAGAAAAAGGGGCTCATTCCTCCAAGTGATGAATTTGGGCGGGCATTGAGTGCTAGCTGTGCCATTGGCAACAAATCCATCCAGTCATTTTGTGAGTAGCAAGAGAATGATCGTAAGTACTTGTATATTTCCTGGTTAGCCCGCTCACTGGCATTTGACTGAGGGTGATACGCCGTTGTCAGTCGCTGCGAAATCTTTGTTAACTCACAGAATGTCTTCCAAAAATGGCTTACCCAGTCGCTGCCGCGGTCACTAGTTAGGTATCTAGGAAATCCGTGGTAGCGATAGTATCGGTCAACAAACACTTTGGCACATTCTTCTGACGTCATTGAGTTTGTACCAAACATGAAAACTTCCTTCGACAAACGATCAGTTATTACCATAATATTGGTACACCCATTTGACGGGGGCAGATCAGTGACGAAGTCAATCGTAAGTTCACAGCCAACCCTTTCTGGAATTGGTAACGACCGAAGAAACCCAGCTTTTGCTTCCCTCCAAACAGTTGAGCGTCCACAAACGTCACAATTCCGAACAAACCGACGCACCGATTCCCTCATTTTGGGCCAAAACCATCTCCGTAGTAGGATACCTACCATTGTGTCTCTCCCTGGATGTCCTGCAAGATGGCTATCGTGTGTCTGCTGTAAAATAGCTGTTCGAAGTGGCTCGTGATCTGGCACCCAAATTCTATTTTCACGACCTCTCAGCACTCTATCTGCAGCCACTGTACATTCAGCGATATTAGCTCTATACTTTAAGGCGATATCTGGAGGAAAGCATCTTTCACCCGCTTGTACAGCATTTCGAGCTCGCTTCCAGTCGTTATCTATTTCAATACCCTTCGCCCATAGAGCTTGTAGCTCATCACTCTCAAAAAGAATCGCTTCAGCGGCTGGGTCCATGGTTTGGTTTGTGTTACGGTTAGTTTTTCTGGTATTGACAGGGTGGATAGAAACTGTTGGCAATAACTGTATAACCCTTCCGGCATTTCTTTCATCGTCGAGACCTGTGGGCTTATCTTGTTCTCGCCTTGACAATGCATCCGGTCGCTCGCTAGCAGCTCCTGCTCGCCACTGAATGTTAAAATTAAACTGTTGCAAGGTATCGTTATACCTAGCCTGTCGTTCGTTGAGAAGCTTTTTTGAAGCAAAGTAATTGAGATTTTTATGATCACTAAGTATAGTGAAGGGTTTTGCCACTGATTTTAATTCAGCCTGCCACTCCTTGAGACATTCAATAATTGCAAGCATTTCTTTGTCATGAATAGGGTAATTGTACTCGGCGCCTGACAATCTTCTTGAAAAATATGCAACTGGTCGTAATTTATTCAGATCGTCTAATTGTGATAAGCAACCACCCAGTGCATAGCCAGAACAGTCTGCTTCTAAAACAGTATCACGATCTGGGTCCCATTGAGCTAAGACAGGTGATGTTGCAAAAATTCTCTTTAATTGCTCGAATGCTGAATTTTGTTTCTCACCCCAATTCCATGATGAATTCTTCTTGGTCAAATCTATTAACGGGGCAGCGATGTCAGAAAACTTATTTATAAAACATCGATAAAAGTTAGCAAATCCTAGGAATGATCTAACACCTTTGACGGAGGTAGGCGCCTTCCATTCCAGTATGGCTTTCACTTTGTCCGGGTCTGTCGAAACATTCTCACCTGCCTTGATGATGAATCCAAGATATTTAACTTCCTGACAAAGGAATTCACATTTATCAATATCAAGGTATAGTCCTGCACTTTTGAGTTTCGATAATATGCTTCTGACTACCTTCCAATGTTCCTCCTCACTCCCTGATGTATACGCCAGAACGTCGTCCATGTAGGCTGTGGCATCAATGTCAAGGTGCTCGCGCAATTGCTCATTAATATATCTTTGAAACGTTGCTGGTGCGTTGGAAAGACCGAAAGGCGTTACCATCCACTCGAAGAGACCAAACCGACAGCGGAATGCCGTCATCCATTCACTGCCCTCCTTGATACGTATTCTATGGAAAGCTGATTTTACGTCAAGTTTGGTAAACCATCTTGCTTTAGATAACTGACGTAGCGTTTCTTTGAATAACGGAAGTGGATATCGATCAGGCACCGTTATCGCATTTAGTCCCCTGTAATCTACGCAGAATCTAAGGCCTCCGTTTGGCTTCTTTGCAAAAAGTACCGGTGCCGCTGCTGCTGACTTGCTGGGTCGAATCCAACCCTTTTCCAGGAGGTCGGTCAGGGTTTTCCTCAAAACAAGCAACTCTTCTCTTGACATACTGTAAAGTGGTCCCCATGGTGGTGACAGAGGTTTCCCATTTTCTTTCTTTAACTCTATAGAATGGTCAAGTGCCCCGCGCGAAGATGGTAAGTCTTTTGCCCCTGTGTCATCTGCAAATAAATGAGCAAAATCCTTGACTTGGTCAGGTAGGCGATTCCGCGCTATTTCTAACGAAACACCCGGTTTTCCACGTAATGCTTTACTTATATCTTCGAGCGATGCCTTGCAAACTGGGACAGTCTGGACCATTAACGCCATAGTTTTGATTGGAACATTCTTTGGCCGAGCCACATTTCTCAAATCTTGTCGCCATCGCTCGACGCTGCATACAGATCCACCATACTTGCGAAGCTCCAATCGCTGCTCTTTAGAATGAATTACAGCATCTTGTTCTTCGAGCCATTTTTTCCCTAATATCAACTGATGTGTGCTCTGAGGGACAATGTAGAGCCACAGTTTTGGGGTGATATATCCATCAAGATCTAGTGATATGTAAGTAATTTTATCCACAGTTGGCTTGTTTGTAGATGAATTATCTGCAGTTTCTAGTAGTCTTGGTGTAATCGGAATGCGCGGCAGTCGCAGTTTTTCAGCTAATGCTTCATCAATAATTCCAAAACACAAGCAACCATTGTCTACTAATGCTTGTACCATTTTTGTATCATTTAATAATGCATTTAAAAGAAAAGGTTTTGTATTCATGCTCGCTTCAAAACTGCTGACTGTTTCTGGCTCCTGAGCGCGACTATGTTCAGGAGCCTTTAGTTTTCCGATTCCACTTCCACTTCCTCCACATAGTACATTGATGGGTCTATTTCCGGCAATGACGTAGATGTAACCCTGACTGAATTACCTCTAGGCTTTAAAGCCGGCAATAGAGGACACTTTCTGGTTATACACCCTTTCCGCTCACATCTAAAGCAACGGCCTTCTTGTCTCAATATTTCTAATTGAAATTTAGTTTTCCACATTGCTCGCCGGCGTTCATCTTTTACCACACCCATTGCGTTAACACCGCCCATAACAGTGTCCCCTGACTTATCCACCGCCCCGTCCTTTCCGAGGTTACTGAATCGACTATCGAAATTATCTGATATTTGATTATGCGGTAACCAATTGATTCCGTTATTTCCGATAGTGCGTCCCTTATCTCGATTTCCATGCCATAGATTCGCATCAGGGTATGTGTTATCCCGTCTTCCATAGAATCGACTCTCAGCTATCTCAAACTGCTGTGCAACCCTGTTCACTATATTCACCCATTCATTGAAATCATCGTCAGGCAACATGTGATTTGAGGCTAGCGCCATAGTCAACTTTTTGTTTAAAGCATTCTGGAGCAGGGAGATTTTGTTGTCATCTGGCCAAAAATCTCCTCGGGCCTCAGTCAATTTGTTCGACCAAGATGCTAGAAAGTCCGACCAGTGTTGTTTATCCTCCATTTTCATAGACTGTAGCTCTGTTTTAGCACGAGAAATTCTTGTCGAATCTAGAAAAAGCCTGTCGAGGAATTCAATGAAATCTTCGGGATCTCTGGTATTCCGAACTCCGCCAGCTTCGTAGAACGAGCTGGCCTTTGTTCTTGCCGTGCCCTTCAGTGCGTTATAGATCATCAGGAAAGCTCGAGAATTGTCGTATCCGAAAAGATTCCAGTCCATACGGAAAGTATCCAAGACAGCAGCACGCCATGCTGGGTATTCAGCTCTAATTCCAATGAATTCCGGAAGCTTTGTCGGCTTTAGACTGGTGTGCTCGCTTGGTGGTGGATCCTTCTCAATGATAAATCTTTTAGTAGACGTAGGTTTACAAGATTGCTTTTCGAGCAATTTTTTAAACTGATGCTGAAGTTCGCGGAATTCCTCGATAGGTACCATCTGGTGGCGTCCCCCGGTTACCGATGATGTCATTATTATTGAGATTTATTACTGAATGACTACAACTCACTGCGGTTCCGAGTTACTGTGACTGACTACGATTATGAATTTCTTCGACTGACTGCGGTTCTGAATTACTGCGACTGACTGCGATACTGAATTACTGCGACTGACTGCGGTTCTGAATGCCTGAATGAGAGAAAATAATATGTCACGGTTCGAGGTATAGATGCTGGGGCGATCAAATATACGAAGGTTGTTTATTATTTTCTCTATGGCTATCTATGTACGTCCAACTTCAACTATTTATTCGCTTACTATTCTATCTAGAATATTCTTGACTAATACCAGTTTCTAGTATTTTCCCCTGAGGCTGGTTCGCAGTCTTACTACTAGTTGCTAGAAATTTCTAGTGATGTCCAGATTAATCTATGATAGAATAGTGGTTTCGTAAAGTTGTGAAGCACGTGATTAACATCATGTGCCACAGGGTAATTACCGGCTCACTAGCCGTTACGATAAAGGACATCTATCAGCTCGCATCTATTGTTGAACACGATCCTGTCAAGATTACTCTTTACTCGACCTAATAATTAACTTAATAAGATGGCTCTCGGGAGTAAAATGAGCCTGTTCTGGAGGTTGACCGTATTGGAATAATTACCTTTAGGACCACTTTGTAAAGATGGAGGAAGGCTCCATCCAAATATCAAGTTGTTGAAATCTTTATCATCAACATGTACGAGAGGTCGTCTCGCTTCGACTCTTTTATTAGTGAATGCTTTACAAGCTATTTTAAGACTCGATTCAATTTCATTGAAGGAAAACCTATGATTTCTACAGTGATATCCAGGCTTAAGCGATTCGTTCCTTCTAAGTAGAGTCCATGACGCTTGAGCTGAAATTAAGAGTATGAGAAACACAAAATTTTGCCAGAGAGACTGGTATCTGAAGATATGGTGTGGGGTCTTCATATTTTCTGATGTCAAAGTCGGTACTTTGTAGGGATGGAGATGGTAGTGTACAAGAATGAAGTAATTGTCATTTTCACACGGAGCACTACCAATTTTATGCAGGAACTTAACCCTTCTTGCTCTTCTCAGTCAAAAGCTCATTTGGCTATTAAAATTCGATAATCCTGTGGGTTATGAGTCAGAGGATTTCGGAAATTTGGCGATGGACCTACCATATGAAGCGTGAGTCGCAAGCCCAGCACTGGGCGGAATCATGTTATGCCAGCGATTGCAAGGTGGGCAGCTCGAGGCACATCCAGTTATGATTTTTTCCAAGTTTATAGCAATGACTTTTACGTAATGTGTATTGACCCATTAAGTCTATGGCTATATATCGACATGCAAGTCCTCTCTGCCTCTAAGCTAAGGATATTTTTTTTTCTAAAAGTATATACCCTCCCATGACTCCCATACAGCTCCCCACAAACAGTAGTACCCCCAACAAGTCCTCATTCCATTAAAAATAAAAGGTACTCTTTGCTCTTCTTATCTCCACTCTACAGCCAACGAAACGGGGGCCAGTTGCGGGTGTATGGTAGCCGGGAAAAATCGCAAATACCACTGGGTGTGGAGCTCTCCTAATACCGACATTAGGACTGAATCCGAAGATATAGTGAACCTTCTGAAGCGTTCGAAGAGGCCGGCCAGCTGGGCGCTGTAGACTTGTGGCTACCTCGGGAAATTCATAGTTTGCATTTCTAGCTTCCATTCATCCCTTTCCCGAAGGTCGTGCTGAAATATCAGAAAAGTCTTGGTAGAGCACGTTTAGTGTGTAGTAATCTAGCCTGGCTTCATTCTATCGTCTTGGGTACTAGGGAGTGGTGTAATGTTACAGGCTGCTCCTTGACTCCATTTACTTGTGTCTATCTACATACGAGTCACCGATGGGCATTTTGGGATCATGAGTGATCATCGATCCGTCACGTAAGAATCGTCGATAAATCACCTCAAGAATGCGCATGATGTCCGATCCAATGGATATTTACTGCCCTAGAGTCAGAGTTATATGCATATCCTACTGCCTAAATAGATATCATCTTCTGGATAATTAGAAAATAGACTGTGCTAAGACCAGCAAACCTTATTCTTGTTATCTTGATTATGGCCCATCATATCTAGACGCGTTAGTAGCCGACAAAGACGACTTCTTCACCTTCCAGTGGTGCCGGTGTAATGGCTCAGTATGCTCTGCATATCTGGGATAGCCAAGAAGAATCGCATCCGAATTGAAGTCGAAAGCAGCCTCAAACACATCTCTATTTAAAAACTTCTCGACAATGCCTCTCTCATCAATATTATCTGAGTCCTCAACCCATCTCTAACCACGCATCATCTAGCCTCGCCGACCGATAAAGGCGTGACCCCAATTGCAAACAGGAGCTTGCCTCATTCATCGCCGGCCATCACTCACTACATATTTACGACGCTATTTATACCCGCAAGGAGGAAATCAAGTCGAAAAATACAAAGCCTGGGTCTTGGCTTGTGGGGGGCTGTTGCTTTAATGGGACAAACAATTTGAGGGAGGACAGGCGACTGAGGTGTGGAATGAGAGGTGGAATAGGTCTCTGCAGAGCATGCTGGGACCGATATTTTCGAGGAGTTTTCAACCTTGGATTTTTTGTGGGCGCCAAGACCAAGATTTCGGCTAATTAGCCAGGAGGGCTTCTTTCGTCGATGAGTCAACGGCACTCCCCAGCGCCCTGGACGGTACAAAAGAAGCTAGGCTAAGCTACCGTACAGCAATCACGCTCTGTCAAGACTTTTCTGACATTTCAGCACGACCTTCGGGAAGGAGTTGGAAGGAGGCTAGAAAGGCAGAGGGTGAATTTCCCGAGGTACCCACAAGTCTGCAGCACCCAGCTGGCCGGCCTCTTCGAACGCTTCAGAAGGGGCAATGTGTCTTCGGATTTATTCCTAATGTCGGTTGTCGGTAAAAGAATCACATTTGAGTAGTGTGAATTGTTCTATGTATTTGCGATATTCAGGTTGTCGTTAGGACACTGGCAGGGGTCTGATTTAGCTCATTAGCGAGGTGCTTGGAGTATAGGAAGGAAGGGGAGATGGAGAAGGAAAAGGAGAGACAACGCTTTATGTATTTCGAGATACCAGTTAATTGAGATTATTCACCGACTTCGTGACGGACAGCTGACTTTGTGACGGCACCCAATTTGGATTACTTCGTGTTTTACCAACATCGGTATTAAGAGAGCTCCGCACCCAGTGGTTTTTGCGATTTTTCCCGGCTGCCATACACCCGCAAATGGCCATCGATTCGTTGGCTGGAGAGGGGAGATGATGAATGGCAAAGGGCTCCTCGTAGTATATGATCGAATGTTGACTTGTGAGGGGTGGTACTGTTTGAGGGGAGCTGTATGCGAGGCATAGGAGGGGATATACTACTAGTATAGGTATCCTTAGCCTGTAGACAGAGAGGACCTGCATGTCTTATATAGTCATAGACTCAGACAGGACAATAAATGAAATAATAATTATATTCTCCACAGCCGAGAAAATTGAGTATGGGTATCTGACTACGAAGCACTTAGGACAGCAATTAAGCAATGATCGCATGAAAGTCATTTGGCTGGCCACCCTGGGAAAGATACCATGGTTGGCGTAATTTTACGACGATGGTTTTGGCCGAAGATCAGGGATTCAGTGCGGAAGTTTATTCGGAATTGCGATACCTGCGGACGGACCACGGTGAGGCGACAGGCAAAAGCTGGATTTCTTCGGTCTCTACCAATTCCTGATTGCATAGGCAGTGAGTTGACCATAAATTTTGTCACGGACCAGCCACAATGATGCGGCTGTACAAATGTCATGGTCATCATAGATCGCTTGAGTAAGGTGTAAGGGTTTAATGAATTCAGATGTGCTTGAAAGACAATAACTCAGTAGGAATGAATAACTTGTTCCTTGGGAAGACTATCTACCACGTACTCTTCCATACGTTATATGCTCTGCGTAGACTGGTCTCAACTCCCTCCATTGGCCATTTGAGGATCATCCTATCTCCCGGCTCTCTTCCTTGTGTTGGAAAATGCTGCTTAGTCAGCTGGGTGATTCGGTTAAACCCCATCACCCTCTGTATTTAGCACACACCCATTAGATTTTAGATTTTTTATTATAGTCCTATCTGAGTCTACGATTATAGAGGACTTCTAGCTTCTAAATGAAAGAGACATACAAATTTCGATAAATTCAACCATTTTAATTCCCAATATTTCGCACACACACATTTTCATACATCTTACTGCACTACCATATATATTCTCCACATACCTTATTGTACCCTCTATCTATTCTCGCCACTGTGACTCCACTCTCTCAATTATCCTAACACCTTGGCCTGTGTATCCAGGTCAGGTGATGCCCTGACATATAATGGTCGTTTACTTAGGCAGACTTGCATTAGCGTATTTGTATGATTAAGGAGTTTTTGGATAGGAAATTGAAAACCAACTTACACCCAGACTTTACGACTTGACAGGCATTCTGTGATACAAATTACAGGCGTGCTTTGAGTTCGAAGTCAAGGGTATTATTCCGAAAGCACAGGCCCCTGAGAATCATCCTTTCTCCCGGCACAACTCTTCACCTGTATCATACTCCTGTGGATCCTGAACTGTTGATAGTTGGGAGCTGGAGACGAGGTACGAGCGTCGTCTTACCACTAGTTAGGTAAGACCGGATCGCCACTCAGGACAATAGCGTAGGATGTATATGGAGCATGGTAGTCCTTGAAAGAAAGGCTAGATAACCTTCTGCTTATCTTAGACTTTGATATTGATCACCCCGTGAATCTGATATGGTGAGTCCCGAGCAATAACGGTCTCAACTACCTACCAGTACCCTCACTCCCCATCTCGTGCGTACCCCCTTAGCGCCCCGTTCGTCTATCCAGGAGCGTTGCCCTGCCACTGCCTTACCTCGGAGACGGAGTGGTCCTAGTGACCAGTCCCAATCCGGGCAAAGCCCGTCACATTACCTCCCTTCCTCTTATAAGTGACCAATTTTATTTTTTCTTCCCTGTCTGGCCCCTTCGCTCTCTCCGACGTTGCCTCCTTTACCGTACAAAGCTTCGAAATTGTCCATAGCCTCCACGTCCTCGAGGTCAGTTCGATCTTCCCATGCCGGTTCGGCGAAGCCCTTTCATTTGACCAATACACGCCGTACCCATCCTCTCCCGCGTCGGACCTTTTCTGCCCTTAAAGTCCGTTCGACCACCTGTTCCGTAGTCGTGTTATCTCCATCTTTAATCATCAAAAGTGAAGGTTGCGCATTGTCTTGGATCTGGGAGGGTAGCGGGTCATTGTTAGCCTTTTGTAATAGTTCCACGTGAAATCTTGGCCATATCCTAGACGGAACATCCAGCTCTACCACATGTGGTGATATTACCTTAACTACTGTGTATTTTGCGTTGACCCACGCTAACTTCTTCTTTGGCGAAGGCGTGGAAATGTTTTTAAGGCTGAGCCACACCTTATCGCCCACCTGAAACTGCGGCGGAGGATCCCTCTTCCTGTTAGCCTGTTCCTCCATTATATGCTGCGCGGCTGCCATTGCGGCTGCCGCAAATTCCTGTGCCTCTCGTATCTCATCCACGAATTTCTCAGCTCGTTTGACTCGTGTTGATAGCGGCTCCCTGGGCTCGGACGACTTTAGCTGTATGGGCTCTGCGCGATAACCATGTTCCAGAAAAAACGGGCTTAAGGTTGTGGCTGCACTATCCCTATTATTGATCGCCAATTGCGCCGTAGGTAGCATTGATGCCCATTCAACCTGTGAGAATAATATGAATGCCCGTAGGTATGCTCAAACCTCCTGGTTCATCCTCTCTGTCGCCCCATCGGTTTCCGGGTGGAAAGCTGTAGACAAGCGTTGTTGTCACAGACCGGCTTTCCCACGAGGAAAACGGCCTGCTTGTCACTACCATCGTGCCATGGGCTAATGCT